CGGTTCAGTTCCACATTGGTACACAGAAAATATAAAACCATTAAACATATTGCATCAATTACAGTCACAGATAAGTCAGAGCCAATAGGAGGCAGCGTTCTTTACCGGACTAAACAAACTCACTTTGATTAACTGCGTGCACCTGCCCTGGCTCCCGCCACGTCTGTCACCCAGCTGCAGGAAGACGTAATCATCAGAACGTGCTCTTTCCTGAAGCGTGTGAGCCATTCTTTCTAGACCTTTTTCTCCTCTATGACCTAATATGTGCCAAAGTACAGTCGTGTGGAGAAAAATATTGTATTAGGTTATCGGGAAAATCATGATGCACTTTTCTATGCAAAGATGCATCATGACTTTCCTGATGACCCAAAATTTCCCCCCATCCCTCGTGAGGATATTGCATTTCCCCAACTTCTCATAGACTGAAAGCTTTCTGAGCATGGAGTGCCTGCCTTTAATGTTTCTGAGATTTACTCCCCTTGAGGGCACTCACGGGGTGTTAACTAGGTGCTGATGGAAGTGAACTCCACTTTCCCTTATTACCCACCTTGCATGCTCATTGTCCATGAACAAACCAAGTCATAGAAAGGACTTGTGACTGGAAACTCCACTGACACATAAATTTCCCCATTTGCAGCACATGTTGGCTTTCTAACTACTCAGAACTCCCGAAAGACCGCCTATGTACTTTCTCTTCTGTATTATTTGCGAGTTTACCCTTCCCCACCCCTGCTGCTAGCTCCTTTGAGAGTGGATCACGTGAGTATTCGACTTTGATTTTTCACACACCAAGTACTCAGTGTACTGTAGGGGCTCGGAAATGGACCAATTCATTCTTACTTGCTTTAAACACCTGACAACTTCAGCACGACATGAAAAAAACAGGGAAAAGGTAGAAATCAGTCCACTCTCCATATTTTTTTTCTTAAGAGAGATTTTTTGCTCTAGGGCGTGTGTGCTCACCAGAGACACAGCGTCAGAGAGACAGAAAGCGAGAAATCACCCCCGGGGTGGGAGGTGGGGGCGAGGATGGCCACACCATAACCCCTTCTCCTCCATTCTCCTCTCAGGATTTTGGGCATGCATGCACATACACTTGGCATGAGTTCTAAGTGGCTGAGTCCAGTACTCGAACCACGGCGAACTACGTGGGAGTCCAATGACGTAACCATCACGCCACCCCCTGGTCCCTCCACTCTATGTTTTTAAACTTTACTTATTTATTTATTTTATGAGGAAGAGAAAGAAAGGGAGACTATACGCCCAGCAAGGTCTTGACGACCTGACTGACTCTCAGCTTCAGCCTGTCCTGGGTCGTGGGCACCTGTGTGCCATGCCTACTTTAGCAGGTTTCTGGTCCCAAACCTGTAGCCTCCCATGTGAGGCTGCTTCACAGACTGCTGTGTGATAACACTGTTCCACTCTCTGGTCCTGAAACTAGGCCACTCTTGAAATCTACTTTTGGCTTGGCTCCCAAACGCGACAGCTGTGCCACCAACCTGGGCCCTGACCCTCATTAAAAAAAAAAAAAAAAAAGATAAAAAATAATGACTCTACCACCAACAACAAAAAAACTTCCTTTTTTCTCTAAATTTCAATTTGTTCCAAAATTTCTCCAGAAGTAGCCAAGTCTAGATGATAAGAGAAAGTTCATTAAGGAAAAGTCTAAAGAAATACGTAGGATTTAATCTATGTTAGACTTTCAAGTAGGAGTTGTCAGTAAGTCAGAGGAAATTTCACAGAATAGGTGGAATCTAGGATGAGAAAGACACCAGCATAATTAAGGGGAACAATTAAAAAGTGGTCTAGAGGGGGGTGGCAGGTAGTATTGTAGCTAAGGGTGCTGGATTCCCACATGGTCGACTGTGGTTCAAGTCCCAAATATGATGGCTTGCTTTCTCACTTCCTCTCTCTCTCTGTTTCTCTTAGGTCAAATCAAAATATAAAAATAACGAATAAAGTTAAATAAAATTATTTTAAAAATAGTTTAGAAGATGTCATTTTTAAAATAATCTAAACTCACACTCACCTGAGAGAGAGAGGGAGAGAAAGATAGGGGTAGGGAGTAAGTTGCCACATCCAGGACTTGAACTGTGGTTGACCATGTTGGGGTCCAGAACTTTAACCATCATGCCACCTGTTGGTCCCCAAAGATGTTCTTAATATGACCTCTGAAACCCAAGGAACTGATGCCCAGACCATCACAAACTCTGTGTTTTACTTGCCCTCACCCTTAAAGTCTATAACTTCAAGACCATTGCTAAGTGTCACCACTCTCCGTGGTTGTCATTGAGGAAGGTCAGCACGTGGTGTCATTAGAGACACCCCAGAGGTTAGCGTAGCACATAACAAATACGCTGCGGTCTTTTTTTATCCATAAGGGAGTATTCAATAATTTCTTCCTTTTCTAGACTCACATAGCAGTCAATTGTCCATTTTTGGACACGTACCAACCTGTTTGGGTTTTGTTTTTAAATAATGAAGGGCCAGTCGTGTGGCTGAGAGGTTAAGGGAGCTAGACCCCACATGCCCCACGCCCTTGGAATCCAGGAAGCTGGAAAAGGATGATGGGTGCGTGTGCATGTGTGCCCCAACTCCCAACAGAACGGAGCCGTGGAGGACTGCAGAGGGACCACGCCCCGTTGGGAGCTCTCTCTCTCTCTCTGTTTCTCTGTGGTCAGCCCATATAGCGCCTGGAAAATAAGTAAATAATTACGTGTATTTCTTATCTTTTATTATTACTACCTTTTATGATTGCTAGAATGAGAATAAACTCAGGTCTCTAGAATAAGAACTGTCGCATAAACACCTGTATTCATGCAATCCTTTCCCACCACAGTGCTCAAAAAAAGAAAGAGGCCAGCAGGTGGCGTGGTGGTTAAGGCACTGGACTCCCACAGGGCCAGCAGCTGGTTGAGTTCCAGACCCACTGGGTTGAAAATCAAGTCAGTTGTGTCTGCATCTGCCGGAGTGCCCAAGGTCCCAAGAGGAGAATGGAAGAGAAGGGACTACAGCATAGCTGTCCCCCCTGGGGAATGATTTCTCACTTTCTCTCTGTCTCTGCCTCTCTCTCTGGCAAGTGCACACGCCCTATAACAAAAACCTAAAAAGAAAAAAAAAATGGAAAAGACAGAAAAAGCAGAAAATGGCAGAGTAGCCCAAGGCCAGGACAGGAATAGGCTTCCAATATGTTTTTGTGGGATACATATTACTCGTTTCTAATAAACAAACATGAAAATGTTTTTATACCCCAGTCTACTTGATTTTTACCCACACTAAATAATGTCAGACTCACTTTCAGCTCTCATTTTCCTCAAAGTAGTCTCTCAGCTCCCTAGAAAGGAGTACTCCTAGGTCCCGTGAAAGGTTTGATTTTTGGATCAAACGCAAGCGTCTCAAGCCTCGAGATACGGATACTAACGAGGAAGTCAGGCGCTCAGCCTTAAGGTGCTTATCTCCCCGCATTAACCCACCACTGAGAAGGGGGAACCAGGCGAGGATGGCTGACCCGGCACGTTGGACCCTGCCACTTTGATCTGGCGCGTCTGCCTAATCAAGTTCATCTGCTGCTGCTCTTGCTCAGATTCAAAGGACAACATTAAATAGTTTGATTATCGGATGGTCATTTCCCTCCTCTGCACCCTCTGATCTAATTTCCAAACGCCAGTCTCTCGCCTCCCTCTCTAAACTTCCCATCAAAAGAGAATTAGTTCTTCCTCCTTCTTACCCTCGTTTGATGTGCAAATTTCTTCTCTTTGCACATTTTCCTCGAGGTAGTGGGGAGAAGACTGGTGTGTGTGTGTGTGTGTGTGTGTGTGTGTGCGCGCGCGCGCGCGGGGCGGGGGGGGGATGCAGTTGAACAAGAACCTCATCCGAATCTGCAAACCATTCTAAAGGGTTAGCCAGCAACTCGCATGGACTACCTGTCTCAGAGGCAGGAACCTTTGAATTGCCCACCAAGGGGTAGTTAATATTGAACGTTATTTGTGGGCACAATAAGCGAGTACTGCGTCAGGGAGAGAGGTGAAAAGTGGTTTTGCAGAGGGTGTCACCATTGGGCCCTGAAAAATAGTTCAGATCGGGATAATCCAACCCCTGCGGCGAGGGAAGA